AGTTTTTTTTTTACTTAATTGAATATAATTCCTCCCATTTCTTGCTATACTTCTGGTTTTAAAACTTGGTAGAGTCTTATAAAAGGATAGTTTGATAAATGATTGACTTTTTTATAACTGATATTTTGATAAATGATTGAAAATAATGATAAACTAGTAATCGCTGGTTTCTCTAACACAATGAAATAAGCGAACGCATGAAACTTTGCCAAGATGCTGATGTCACTACGAATGCTGGAAATAATAAATGACTAAAATAAACAATGGTTGAAGTAGTTAACTCATACCTTAAATACATTCATCTTGTAATATCATAAAACTAACATCAAAACATTAATTTAGAAGTCAAACAATCTTAACTAACATTAAAACGGTTCGTAGGATGCGAACCGAAAACAAGTCTGCTAATATAGACACAATATGACTTCCTTATACAGCCTACTAAATTATACACATTTTTTTGCAGTTTATTTAAACTTATTTCCTCGAATTATTCTAACCTAATTAACCGATCCTCAGAGCAAGTTGAAAATCCGATAAAAAACTGTCTATTTTGAAATTACAAATACCGGCTAATTATTGTGTTATTTGTCAAACTTCCTGAATTTTTATTTTTTCATAACGAGTGTGAAACTTTCCCAAATATAAGTACAGGAACCTGGAGAACGCATAAAATGTTAGCATTCGTTTTTTGTTCAAAATTATTATTATTTTGTTTGCTTTATATTGCCAAAACAAGTACATTTCAGTCATAATCACTTACACCACAAAAACAGGCACTGGAGAGTAAGGAAATTCGTTATAGGCATAAACAACTTACTGTCAGTAACCGTTCTAAGTTACAACATAATTTCCAACTAAACCAAAAGTAATCTGCATTCTGGTGAAGCTTGGAGGAGTTAAAAAAGGTATGAGAAGGAATTAATATTAAGGTACCACGTTGGTTAAAATACCTCGTTAATCGCATAATTAACTCCTGAGCATTTAGCACAAAAGTTATGAACTTTCTTTTAAATAAATAATATTGTGATAAGACTAACTGTAATTTATCTCTAACTACTTCTCAATGTTCTAACTGTAACAGCGTCCTTCGGAAATTAAATTATTCGTATGATTTTCCTATTTTGATTTTTGTAGAAAAAAATTAGTAAAATAAAGTTCTGTAGAGTCATTAGGTTTTTTGATGCAAGAGACGTAAAAAATTTTCAGTGCTCTCGCCGGGACTCGAACCTAGACACGCGCCAAGTGTGCTACCGTTACACTACGAAGGCAAGCAGAGAGGAGGGAGAAAATAACCCTATAGTATAATTAAAAAGATTTTAGACGATAAGCTTTTATTTAAAATGTATATGATAAATAATGTATTAAAAAGAAGAAAAATAGTTTATCATGTAGTTTAGTGGGAATAATAGATTAAATAATTCTATTTACAGAATTTACCTACAGTTTCATAAAGCGCGAGGGCACTCATGATAAATTTAAAACAAAAGATAATGGCTTGTACACTTGACAATGCAATTCAATTTATAGATTTCTTTATGTAGACGCCCCACGCTTTGTTATTCGCGATATAAAACTGTAGTTGTGGGTGAGATCAGAGAATAAAGAATTCACTTTGAGGGTTCCGTTTTGGAAACTGGATGTAATAACAATTTTACAAAGATTTATTTGACTTGAAAGTTAAAATAAAAAAAAAAACTAATATTGGCAATTCTTCATTAAGTGCGCCAAGATAGCAAATTCAAAACGTTCTTTTCTGCCTCCTCCATTAGAACGCAACATATTTTTGATAAATATAAGATATTGAGCAGTTAATATCTTTTATCATTCTTGTGTTAAAAAAGGTTAAATGTTTGTTTTATAATCAGTGGAAATTTCAAAAATTTTCATCGGATACGTTTTTAGATGTTGAAATTTTAAACTCATAAATGGAACAGTCTAAAAATTCCAGAAATTTTTTAAACATTTGCCAAAAATTCAAATTGTAAGTTACAATTTTCATACAAGTCTCATCATAAAGACTGACTTTTTCCCGTTGTATTTGATAGTGCAAACAGTAAAATTCTTATTTACTTAGTTTGTTCGTTAAATGAAATTATATGCGAAAAATCATTTGAACATTGTACGCATATCAGCGGCCGAGCGGTAAAGACGCTGAACACTGGTAGTTCGTCCGAGATTCGAATCCCGCGAATGGGCTGGCTGCATGGGCGTTTTCGCGGTTTTTCCCATGTGTAACTTGTATACGAGCCAGTGTTCTTTAGAAAATCCTCCACGAAGGCATCCCTCCCTTTAGGCGGATAGCCCTCGTGTGCTTTGCTATAATTGAGTAATCCAATCCATCCATTTGAACATTAAATAGAAAAAGATGGAAATCGAATTTTAAAAACATCACTTCACCACTTTGCATTGTCTTCGAGAAACAATGTATGTACAGAATTTGAATTTTTATCAGGATGTAGGATAAAAATCGATGACAAAATTCCATTCCCCAAGGAAAAACAATGAGTGAACTAAATAAAAGCTTATAAAAAAGGACGAATACGCGAGTAAATGAAGTAAATCTTATAGTTTCTAATGTAAATTTTCAATGCTTATCATTTGATTTATATCCTAAAAGAAGTATTATATTTATATTTCCAGTTAGTAGGGTTTTCATTTATGTTTTCATTATGCTACCTAGCCGCTTAAACTATAATAAGCTTGTTGATTATATTTGTTTCATCATTTTTTATATTTGTTGCTTGTTAAATTGAGTTCTTTCAAATTATTCTAGAAAGAATGTAATGAGGTTGAAGTCATGAAGCCAAATTATTGCGAAGAAGGAAAAATGCTATTAAGTCTGAAAATAATTACATAAAGACAGAAGCTATTTGAAATGTTTGTCATCTTAATAATTCCTATCAAGAGGAAAGTTCTTGTTGACAGGGCAATATTTTAATTCTAATTATTGCCGTTTAAAGTTGACAAAAGCATTATAATGGTGTTTTTAAAAAGAAACGGAATTTGACCAAAAATTAAGGAGCATGAAGAAAAAAGGGTTTTAAGATCTAAACAGAAAAGTATTAACTTTAAAAAAAGCGAATAATTCTGAGTTTAATAAATGGAAAGAAGACCGGTCTTTACGTATACATATTTTTAGTTTACAAAATGCAACAACAAGCGATGATTCATTAACTTTAATTATAAAATTAACAATGGGGCATAAGTAGAATCTTATTCTCAGTCAGACTTCATTCATTCCGGATAAGATACTTTTCCAGATAACTTCTAGAATTCACCTGTTCATGTTTTCTGATTCCACATGTAGAAATATTCAAAACTGCAAAGTAATTTTTTGCTTAAATGCGGATTATGCTGCTTCGATTCCAGTTGCATAGAATGTTTTTCCACAGACAGATTGCAAAAATCTTGCGTACATCATCCACTTTCAGAATCCTAATTTCAGTAATTAAATTCTTACAAGAGCAACATATGGAACCTCGGACCGAACTACCAGTGCAATAAATTGCACTGATAAATTAATCGTTAATTTTTAAAATGACAAAAGCAAGGTTTCAAATAGTGCATTTGCTAAATTCAATATTGGACTAAAAACTGTGGCTTCCAAATTATAGTGAAAATTTCTCCCATCTTGACAGCAGAAACAGATTCTTTTGAAACTTAAGAAGATTTAACGATAACTGACATAGTTTATTTTTAAGTATATGTTCCAGTAACTACAGTAGATATCCAGACAACTTTTCCAGGATAAAAAATTTATATACTGACAAGGAAATATCTTTCACCTTCGAAAGCATCAAAAAGAATTTATGGAGATACTTAACCACCATTACGCTGCATCAGAAGATCATTAGAAAAGTTTAAGAATCACAAAAACTTCAGCCAACAGTTAAAACAAATTTGATTTAACATTTAAAAAAGAGGACACATTAACACACACGGGGCCCAGCAACGGCCTAGCGGTAAAGTCGCTCAACACTGCTAGTTCGGTCCGAGGTTCGAATCCCGCGAACGGGCTGTGTTTTCGTGGTTTTCCCCATGTGTAACGCGTATATGAGCCAGTTTCCCTTAGAAAGTCCTCCACGAAGGCATCCCTCCCCTTAGTAAGATAGCCCTAGTCTGCTTTGTTATAATTAAATACACCACTACACCATTAACACATACGAGCAGACTCCAGACATCGACAACGAACAAGCAAAATAAGGTGAAATGTAAATGGTAAGGGTCGGCGAAACATTTTATGTTTTTATCCTCGCGTTATGGCAAGCATATATACAGATTGCGCAGAAAAGATGAATATGTCCACTCACTATAGTAAGAATTCCCGCCATAAATTTAATAATTCAGTGCAATTGTATTGCATCTGTGTAAGATTGAAAATTCGAGAGGAAACTAAAACTGAAGTGAAAGGTTTGTGTAATTGTCAGGTTTGAATCCATTTTTTAATCTTTAAGAATTGTATTATTATTTATATTTACTACTTTTTTTCTCTTTTTAAAAGTGCATTTTTTCATTTTAAATGCATTTTCATTTTAAGGGAATTTTCAGTTAATATTTAGGTTATAAAAATCTGGCCTCTGCTTATCTGTATGTTACTGAACAAAAACTTACAATACAGATGAACATTTTTATAATGATTTCAGGGTGCACTTAATTAATTTTTTAAATGTAAAAAGTATTTTTATAATATTTGATCTGACATCCCTTTTTTCTCCCCCCCCCGACTATAAGTATATTGATTTGCATTCCTCTTCCACTACATTTCAGAGTCCATTCATCGTGATGGCTTTGCGCTTAAAAAGAGCTCTCTTCCGGAGACCGAAGACACAATAATCCATAGTATTCGAAGTATGACTTGTTGCTTTGTCTTAACAAAGTTTCGCTTTTTAAAAGCCATAAAGAAATGGAACTTTAATCTGCAAATATCGGGAGTAAAACTTTCTCTTGATCCTACGTTGAGTTGATTTCATCATTTTTTTTCACTCTTCTACTTTTAGTTTCCTACTGTAAAAGAATCCTGCGACAATCAAAAGCCCCTTATTGAAACTTTCTTTGCATTGATGAAACCAGGTGTGTACACTTTTTGCTCTTTATTACCTTTTCCTGTAGCCAGTCATTCACGTAAATCCCAGTTTCATCGGAGGTTACAATGTACTTGCATTTACCTCCTGTTAAATAGTTTTGAACAGGATTCTACAAATTGGTCTGCATTGAGCATCGGAAAAAGCTGGTGAACATTATGATTTTTTAGCTCTTTTAAGTAGTAAATCTTAGTATATTAGGAAATTTATTCTTACTATGCTTTTAAAGTCTTTGCAATTGATTTCTGCATCAACGAATTCCCTCTTGTTACCAATGATTTAACATTAGAAACAGTACACAACTTCGGGTATGCGTTTTGATTCTGTTTTCTATTTAGAAGTAGTGACTAATATTTTTTCTGCTTCCGATCAATAATGTTGCTTATATCGCGCTTGGAAATTTTAATACAATGCTTTTCACAACGTTTCTGAATTATTCAACAGGAATGCTTGTTATCGGAAAACATAAAAACATATCCTTCAATCCATAGCCTGTTTACATGCGAAGTTTTGAAAAAAGAATCCGTTTAAAAATAGCCGACAATATTTCTCATTTTGAGCCGCCCAGTCGGTATAGTGGTCAGGGACGCTGACTGCCATGCCGAAGGGTCTGGGTTCGAATCCTGGAGAAGGCATGGTTGTAACTGTCCGTCCTTTCATAGGAAAGGCGATGGTGGCCCATCTATTAGGTGCCTCCATAATAAAGAGACCACCACATCCGGCCTTGTATAGATCAATTGACTGGGTTACGTTTGTAATTGTTTACAATCTGCCATTGGAAAATCAAATTCTCATTTTGAATAATAAGCTATTGCCAGAAACATTTATTCTAAAGAGTTTGTTTTCTGAAAGTTATTTATCGAAAGCGTTCTAAAAATGTGTAAAAGCCTCTGTACATCTGTCTTTTCATTGTAATTTTATGACCAATATTTTCTCACTGGGTTATATATGTATACCACATTTATGTATGCTTGTCATACTCGAGCTTCTGAAAAGAGCGCGAAGGTTTTCAATAAAATATAAAATAAACGTGTGTTACGTATATCCAGACACTTATGCATCCCGGTTGAAAGATATTACTACATTTAGAGGGGCATTTCCCGAGCAAAATGCTCAGAGAAAGATGTCCCATTGCAAAGGAAATGACAGTGTTTGGCATAAAATAACCATTTGGTACCTTTAAATCAGAACCGGAGACACAAAAATCGAAATGTGAGTCAGGACTGCTTTCCCTTAAGAGCTCTCATTGCCGTTACTCTCCTAGGAAATAGTGTCATAAAATTTCATCATTCGCAGAAAGGCATGTAAGAGGTGATTTATTCTATCGCAACATGGGAAATTTTGTCAGAATGATCCTGAAAATAATTTCATGCCTGTTTAGCATATGTATGCGCAAATACAGTACAATTTGCGTAAGTTTTACGAGAAATCCAAAAAAATACAATTAAAAAAAGGTTTTTATACAATAAGCTTTTATTTAATAGAAATATATTAATAAATACACTAAAGGAGAAAAATAATGTATCATATAGTTTAATGAGAATAATGGATTAAATAATATTATTGACAGAATCCATCTACAGTTTTTATATCACGAATGATAAAAGCGTGGGGCTCTTAAATGAAGAAATCTGTTAGTTGAATAGCAATGTCTAACGTATGGCAGATTATCTTCTTTATCATCGGTGCCCTATTGTTTTATTATTCTTGATATAAAATTGTAGATGAATTCTGTAAGTAGAATTATTTAATCATCATTCCCATTAACGACGCTTTAAGTTGCAAGAGCGCATGTCATAAAGAGCAAGAAGGTCGAGTCATTCCCCTATTTATTTGGTTGAGCGTTCGAAGTGGAAACAACTCCACTGTCAGGTATGTCCAAATACTGCGTAGTTTTCTGAAAGATTTATGGTAACCGGCTATCTTACAGAACTGTCCAACGTTAAAGGTATATTACTGAACTGCCAAACTAAAAGAATTGACGGCTTTTAGTTCGACCAAAGTAATCAAATAAGCAGTTATATTCTTAATACTCCATCTGTGTGTTCATTTCTGAATCACAACATGCTCAAAAGTTTCATTAGTCAAATAAGGAAACATTATAATTTGTATTTTTTAAATAGACTTTCAGCATTTGAAAATTACTGATGAAAGATCGGACAAATCGCACAATTGTCTTTTGATATGTAAATGCATGTGTAACGTAAAATAGATTTCGTTTTGCAAGATATTTGATAAATAATTATTATCAATTGATCATTGAGCAAAAATATTTATTATCTTAAATGAAATTCATCACAAGTGTTGTTTCGCATAATTTAACACTAGAAGCGCCAAGATTTCTCCCTAACTAGAAGCGCCAACGGCAGTCAAATTGACTGCTCAACGAATTAATCTATATATTAAAATGTAAATTCTTTTAAGAATATAATTACAGTGCTGAAGACTTTAAAGAGAAACAGATTATTTTAATACAAAAATAGAGGATATTTTATATAAATTTTCAGCCACCCTTAAAACACATTTTACAGCTTTTCGCAATTTTTCAAAACACACTTTTTCAATATTGGAATGCATTTTCCACACACATAATATGAACATTTTTTACACACATCACTTGTTTTGTTGTTGTTACAAAGTCGAATCTGGCATTGATGTCTTTTCTTCGAGAGTCTATTGCTTAGATTTGGAAATTTCCTGGGGCAATTTTGCGGTTTTTCTTCTGTTTAAATAAAGCTCTCTTAATTCCTCTAATTGAAATAGGAATGCCTTGTAATATTTTTATCACTCAATTTATAGTAGATAATGTAAAATCCAGCATTTTATAGAAAACATGCGCAGGCCATCTATGTGAAGCAGCCCGATCAGAATATTTACGTGTCATCTTGTCAACGATATCAACTCCACATTTGGTTTTGTTGTAGAACTCTACTGTTTCTGGAAGCTTTTTCTTATTTTGTGAGTCTATATTTACACTTTTGGATGTAAGGTACTTAGTAGTAGGACATTTTTATTCCTTTTCCCTGATAGACAGTGAGCGTAGTTCACCATTCTTAGCAAAACTGTTTCAAAGCCGGGTTTTTGATTTCCTTACTTCATGCGGAAATTTCTTGTCGATGTCTTTTACTGTGCCGACAAAACTTGTGTTTTCATTTTAAGTCTTCTAGCTAATGATAGTAAGGAAAAATAATTGTCCGTTGTTCAAATTTCGACCTGAATTCAGATAATGGCTTAGAAGACCCATTACTACATTTTCAGGAAGACTTTCAGTTTCACTTCGGTGTATTTTTTTCCAAGATATGGAAAAGCATTGCACATATACTTCGAGTCTACATCGACTAACATCCAAAATTTGATATAGGAATTTATCAGGTTATTCGGCATATGTATAACTTACACCTGGCTTAGATGGAAATAACTGCTCATCCCAAACTAGATTTTCTCCTGGTTTATAGGAATAGCAAAGTTCTGTATAAATTATTCCAAATATCGGAAAAAAGGCAAAATTATCACTTTCTAAACGCTGAGTCCTAGTTGACTTCAAGTCAAATCTAAGATATTTCATAATGTCTCGAAAACGATTGCGAGACATTGTTTCTGGGAAAAAAGGAGGACCCCATGATTATTCCACAAAAAAAAATAATCCATATCATTGCAACCATATGCTCTTCATGCATAAATAATAGCAATAAAAGCATCAAGCTCTTCTAAAGATATTGCCCAGTTTTCTTCATTGTTCAAAACTGCCTCTGCTTCCGTGCACTTTCTAATATGTCGTAACATCCATTCATCCACAAACAACCTCCAAGCACTGAACACATTGTCCCCAACATTTCGTTTTGCATAAGATGTTGGACTCGGCATTTCTTTTAGCACATTTTGAGCTCCCAGCTGTAGTTTGTGAAGTAGATGTCACAGTCCACGAGGTTCCATCTTTTGAGACATATATAGAGCCTTCTTCGTGGTTTTGGAAAAGACATCCTCTTCCTCGTGCGTACCCTGAGTTAGGTAAATCATGTTTTCGCTTTGATCCTATACCTTGTGCTTTAGGGGAACATAAAAAATAATATATGTATATTTTTTTACAATAAATGACTCATCACATTTTAAAAAATTAGAGTACATCAGAAATTGTCAAAACAAAATAACAATACATAAACATAAATATTTCTTACCTGTTTCAGTTGATGTGGATGCTGCACTTACTGATGACGAAATATTTACTGCGTAAATATCGATGGGCTGAAAACCTTGGCCCAACGATTGCTCTTCCGTGATATCTTCAGATTCACTAGAACTATTATTTCTCTCAAAGTTTTGTGGAGGCTCATAATCCATATCATCATCAATATTATGTTCTTCAACATCAGATTCATTTTCAGATAAATCCTGTAAAAGTTGTACAATTTCTTCTGGTCTCAGATATCGCGGTCTTCGAGCTGCCATTACCGTGTGCTTGAAAGAATGAAATGTCATGAAACAAACTGACTGAACTACTGCAAACTAAGGACTATATCATTTCGGCAAAAAGGGGTGGACCGTTGACAAGGAGGTGGGAAAGTATTTGATGTTGTAAATAAAGAGAGAGGGAAAAGGAATGTGTAGGCCAGATGTTTTTGCAACAAAAGGGATTTTCTGAGTGGAAGGAAGTATATCCTTCTGTAAATATCAGTGAATGAAAGGAATGATATGTACGCCAGATGTTTTTCCACAAAAATATTTTCTGAGCGAGAATCCATATAATCTACTATATTACTAGCAGTCATTATGACTGTTCGTGCGCTTTTAGATATAACTAATAATATCTCCGTTAATTAATTTTAATTCGATTTATATTTGGTACCAATAATTTTCGACATATTTTAGGAAAATACCAAAATTTGTGCTTCTTACGATAAAGGGTTTTTAAGAAACCCAAGGTCAAATGACGAAAGCAGTCAAAATGACTGCTCTGGCGCTTCTAGTGTTAACTGTATCGGTAACCGAACTGTTATTTGCAAAACGATAAGTGAAATACTGTAATACTCTAATAAATTTATTATTGTACCTTTTACGGCAATAAAGGTTTCGTGTTTTCCTCCTATATTTTCATAGTAGTAATCTAAATAGAAATAGTAGTTTCTAATAAAAATTTTCAGCAGCGATTTCGTTTA